TCCCAACGCAGCCTTGAACCCTGCCTCTTGGCAAAGGCGGTTGATTGGCAACAGCGACGTCTTCTCTCAGCTGCGCCCCGGCGCTCTGGAAGCTTTTGCAAGCAGGGACTCTGGCTATCGCGCCGCACATCTAGGACTGCACAGCGCTATCACCACGTGCGCTCCTGGTGCCATAGAAACAAAGCCAGGATCATAACAGGGCCAACTTCTTAGACATTCTCCAGCCTTGTGCCTGGGAATTGAACTTGCACACGCGGCAATGCCCTTCCGCTGCGCCCCGGCGCTCTGGAAGCTTTTGCAAGCAGGGACTCTGGCTATCGCGCCGCACATCTAGGACTGCACAGCGCTATCACCACGTGCGCTCCTGGTGCCATAGAAACAAAGCCAGGATCATAACAGGGCCAACTTCTTAGACATTCTCCAGCCTTGTGCCTGGGAATTGAACTTGCACACGCGGCAATGCCCTTCCGAGAGTGCCTACATGGCAGCAGGTGTTACTGCAACGGGGGGGGCCTTCCTGTGCTGGCGTTAATCTAGGAAGAGAAATGGGCTAGCTGCCCAAGTACAAGCCTGCTGGGGAGCTATTTGGGTTGCTAGCCAGTGCTGAAGCCCTGCCCCCACGTCTAAAGTACTATTGTTACCTGTGTTAGATAGATTCAAGCTAGGGTGCGTATGCCTGCCTCTGGCAAGGTCGGATGAAGCAAAGGGCTTTAGGGGCTGCAGGCCAAGTCTTCGAAGCCAGCCTTTCCTTGCGGGGGTCCCCTGCCTCACTAGAGCCATGTTGCTGAGAGCGCCGGGAAACTCTGTCCCTGCATGCTGCCCTGGCCTCGAGGCTGCTGCTGCAGCTCCCATTGACTGGGAAATGCAGCCAATAGGAGCTGGGGGGGAGAGGGGAAATGCCATCAGACAAGTGCGGGGCAGCATGAAGCCACCTGTTTACCTCCCATCAAATGGGAGCTGCCCAGATAAGTGCCCCATCCCCTAATCTCCTGGCTTCGCCCTGAGTCCTCTCCCACATCCCAACTCTATTCCAGACCCCGCACCCCAACCCAGAGCCCCAGTCCTGAGTTCACGCACCCTAGCTCTCTCTCAGACTCCACACCCCAACCCTGAGCCCCGCTCCACCCTAACCCCCGCCCAGACCCATCACTCCACCCTCAACCTTCTGCCTTGAGCCTGCTCCTGCACACCAAGCCCTTTGGCCCCAGCCTGGAGCCTCCTCTTGCATCCTAAATGCCCCATCCAGCCCTACCCCAGAGCCCACACTGCAAATGAAGCCCTCACCCCTTCCCACATCTAACCTGCCACACATCTAACCCCCATTTCTGACTCTACTCCAGAGCCCAGGGGGCCCCACAAAATCTGATAGCCTTGGATCCCCAGAAGAGTTAATTCAGCCCTAACCTCTGTTACAATCACATCTTCAACTGCAGCATAGATGTACCCTTTGTGGCTGAGCTACAGCAAGGCGAGGAACCATGAATCACAGCACTCAGGGAAATCTCTGTATGTCAGCTGGTAGAGGCCTGTGGCGCTGAAGAGCGAAGCCTCCAGGCCCAGCTCCCTAGGGTGGTATTTGGGGAGTTTACGTAGGTACTGCAGCATGTATATTTGTTATAGTGTAATACCCCCAGCACGTCAGGCCAGGCCATACCCCCTACCATAATGAGACTCGACGGTACTGCCTGCGGCTCATCAAACCCACTTCCTTGTGGGTAACCGAGGAGGCTAAGGGAGCGACCCCTGACAGAAAAGCCCCGCTGCCCTGTGGGTGAAATCAGGAGAATGCCAGTCTATGAGAGTAAACTCAGACCGAAAATCTGGAGAGGAGCCCCAAAGGTGATTGGTCAGGTGCTAACATCTTAGTATCTTTCCAGCAACTCCTGTAGCGGATCAAATACTAGACATACTGGATCTTCCTCTCCTCTGGATTTTACTGGTGATTCCGGGGTAGGGGCAGTTCCCGATGCATGGAGAACTCAGGGCCTCCATATCATCTGCCCAGGCTTGCCTGCTAGGGAGGAACTCCAGCTTCGCCTCGAGCATCAACATAACACAGAAGGCAGCAGTTACCAGTTCTAAGCTCTTACCCGACTGGCATAGAGTTGAGCACCAGAGGCTGTCTCCAACAGTGGGAGAGATCATCATTTCTCACTGGACTACCACCACTCTCCATAACACTAGGCTGTCCCACCACAGTCTGCCTGCTTCAGAGGCTTGGAGCTGAGAGTTTTGTCACTGGCCAAGTGGAGTATAACCCATGTGCCAAACACATCGAGTGAAAGAAAGAAAACATCCTTAAAGAGAAAGAGAGAGTGCTGGAACGTTTGTGCCATGACAACTGGATTATCCAAGGACCTTCAAGTGCTCAACGATGCACATAAAACTGCCATGACGAATGAGGAGCTGAAACGACTCCTTGTGGACTTCGTGTCCCTCCAAGAAATACAGTTAGCGTCAAGCGGATCTCTCGGAGAAAAAGATGACACATTTCCGTGGCCAGGGAAAAAGTGCAGAAGACAAGCAGGAGAGAGCAGGGTGTGGGTTGCCATCAAGAACTCACTTCTGGGGATGACTGAGCCGTGGTTCTCTATTACCCTGGTCAAGTCACTTAGGTTTTGACTTCAATGGGTGTTAGGAGCCCAACCACCTACAGGGATCTGAGCCAGTCTGTACTTCTGTTTCTCACCTGTAAAATGGAGATACGGCTATTTCCTTTCTCTCAGCTTTTGTCCGTCATATCTCTTTAGACTCTAATCTAATCATAATAGTGGAAACTGCAATATGTTTATGTAGCGCTGACAGATGGAAACAAACCTGGGACCTCTGGAGCTTAGTGTATGAGCCTCTATAGCTTGAGCTAAAAGCCAGCTGGCTCTCAGCTAAGGCTGTAGAGCAAACTCATTCTCTCTCTGTAAGTGGTCTCTGCCTCTGCATGGGATGGTGTACCACAATGTTACTCTTACATGGTCAGAAACATGGTGTGATCTGAGGAAAGAGATGGGATTCAGGAATTCTTGGCTTCTAAACTTAACCATGAGGCACCATGTGATCATAGCAAATTTTCTCCACTTCTCTGAGACAGCTTCCCCGTGAAAAAATGGGAATAGTAATGATGTGCTCTCTCTCAAGGTGAGTCGTAGAGCCCTGCCTGTATACAACATTTATATCTGCATCTGACCCACAAAATGGTTTGCAGATGTAAAGCAGACATCCACAGATTTGCAAGCTCTAGTGATTTGAGAATTATTTCATTAAATAAAAGGCTTGTAAAAGGCTTTGGAAACTGGGAAATGCTACATATTGTTATTTCAGATTCCTATTTTCCTTCTTCCCCCAGCGGAGGCAGTATTGCCTAGTGATTAAAGCATTGGACTGGACAAGTTGCTGCACCAGATTGTGCCTCAGTTTCCCATTAAGTGCAAGATGAGTTGCACTACAGAAGAACTAGGTATTATTATTTATACTATAATTGACGGTCCAGTCACTTTTTTCTGCATTCCATCTCTATCCAAGGAACCTTTAGACAGCTCGCCTCACAAACCACTTTGCTTGGTAAAGTGCTTGCAGAATAACTCAGATGTTTCTGGAACTAAACTGCAAATGAGATGCAAACCCTCACTTGACAGGGCTTGTAATCACATGACGCTATATTACAGACTTAACCGAACATTCAGAAACAAAATCTGCTTCTTCACTGCTACCTGAGCTCATCCTTATTGTCAAGGATCAGAGGTGTGAGAGTCAGGGTGTGTCTATGCTGCAGCATTTTTTTCGGGAAAACAATATTTGCGTCCACACTGCCATTGAGTTCTTTTGACAGAAAGTCAAAAGAATGAAGGGGTTTTTCCAATGGCAGTAAACCCCATCCTACGAGGAAGAAGCCTTTTTCCGAAAAAACGTTTTCGGAAAAAGGCGTATGTGGATGCAGAAGAGGGAGTTCTTTCAAAAGAAGAGGTCTCCAGGAAATAACAAAGGTGCCCTGGCAGCCAGTCTGTCCAGACTAATCACAACTTAAATGCGAGACAGCGTCCAATCAACGTGGATGCTCTCTTTTAAAAAAAGCACATCACTTTGTCATTATGCTTTTTCCGTGTGGACGCTTTCTTTCGAAATACGCTTTTCCGAAAGATCTCTTCTGGAAAAGCTTCTTCCGAAAGAAGCTTGCAATCTAGACACAGGCTAACAGGAGGCTGGTCTCATAGCAGGCAGAGAGTATTAGAAAAGGTGAGTCCTAGAGAACACTCAGGGCTTTCTGCATCTTAGACGAACTCTAAGAGGAGAGGAATGCGGGAAGGCAAAAGACAACCCCAGAATGCAAAGCGGTCCTCACAGATCCAAGGCGGCTCACAGTGGAAGCAGCAGGAGCTTCTGCCTGGTGAATGAGAACCAAGCTCTGAACGCTGAAGAAAACCAGAATCCTGCTTGTGTGGCACAGACAGCCAGGTCCAGTCTAAGTACTGACACGGGCTAGCTGGCGAGGAAAGTGGAAAAATACAGACTAACCTTTTCAGGAATAACTAGTGAGACAAGGAGCCTTACAGAGGGCAGGTGAAAACCAGGCCTCTTTAAGGTGTCCTAATTGGAGCACCCCAAATCCCTAGACACTCCTAGTGAAATATCTTAGCTGCAAGGTAGGTATCTCTTTCAGCCTACTTACAGCAAGCCGCCTGTTCTCAAAGAGGAACAGCAGGGAAGAATAACCAAGGGTATGTCTACACTACCCCGCTAGTTCGAACTAGCGGGGTAATGTATGCATACCGCACTTGCTAATGAAGCCCGGGATTTGAATTTCCCGGGCTTCATTAGCATAAGCG